ACTTTACGTGCATGCAAGGTGGTATGAGGCTAGAACACTTAATCCAAGCTATAACGAAGGCTTAGGTCATGAAATGGAGCCATGGTTGTGTAAAGTTGCCTTCTCAGAGCTTCTAAAGCTCATAATTGCTTAGATCTTAAATCCCTCCCGTACTCAATGGCTCAAAACTTAGATTGACCTTGGAAATGGTCCAAAAGTGACCAAATCTATGCTAGAAAGGGGATCTAAATGATTATCAGTCAAGGTACAAGCTTTTTACCTCTAGATGGTCTGAAATACCACCCCAACTCTGGATCTATAACTTCTTCTTGCACCACCAATGCCCTTCTTCCTTCTCCAAGCTTCAATTTTCTCTCATGGCAAGAACTAGCTCCACAATGGAGTTGGGTGGCTAGGGTTCCAAGTTCTGGACAATAGGGGCTGCAAACGAGCCCTAGGGAAGAGAATGAGATGCTTAAATAGGGTACCAATTCCAGGAATTAGGGTTTCCTAACCCAGACCTGACTCGTCAAGTCCACTCTCCGACTCGTCGAGTCGGTCACTTAATCTGCGACCCGAAGCCCGCTTCGACTCGACGAGTTGACCCCTTTTGACTTAGGGTCTCTTTTCCTTTCTTGTCCTTTCTGATTATGGGTGTTACACTATCGCCACTAAATCCTACGCGAAAAGTGAATGCTACTAGAATAGTTGTAGTCTTACATCATGCCCGACCTCCAACGACGTGTCATTTCCTGATTCCAATCATGTTGTGGTCAACCCACAATATTGTGAACTAGCCCATCCTGGCCTAATCACTTGAAAGAATCCATGAATGCTATGGGTCATCCCGCAGTCTCACAACACTTCCCACACCATACTGACCTAATCACCTGAAAGAATCCATGAATGGTATGCATGAATATGTGAATGCGTTTGTATTTTATTGACTAGATATGTGAAGATGCAGGGGAGCCTACGGCAGTTGGGTATTAAACCATGGGAGGAGCCCATGGCATAACAAGTAAAGACCATGGGGGAGCCCATGGCAAGTAGTTAAGACCATGTAGGGGAGCCCATGACACATAGGCATATGACCCTAGGGGGAAACTACGACATCCTGAAGTAAGACTTGAAAGGATCCCATGAATCCCTGTATGTTTATATATGTGTTATGTAGTATGATAGTTATGTTGTGTGATATGTGGTATGCTTGTTGACTCTGTGTCATTTACATGGAAGACCCCAGGGAGCCCGTGGCAGTTGGATATCAGACCATTTGGGAGGGGGGGGGGGAGCCCATGACATTCCAGGTAAAGACCATGGGGGAGCCCATGACATGTAGGTATAAGACCCTGGGGGAGCCCACGACATCCCTGAGTAAGACCTTGGAGGGTTTCCATGACAACCTTATATGTTTATATGTATGGCTTATGTGATCGATATGGATTATGTGATTGATATGGTTTATGCGGTTATGTGGATTATGTGGGGTATGCTATGGGGAACTCACTAAGCTTTGTGCTTACAGTTTTGTATATGATTTCAGGTATCATTGATTTGAAAGGAATGGTCCGACTTGATCGCAGTGCACACACCCGTGTTTTCCGCAATATGTGATTATGGGATGAACTCTGATAAATGTTTTTAATTAGCAACAATTTTGGAATGTTTGGATTATATGATATTTGTGCTTGACCATAATAAAAATGAAATTTTTATCCTTGATTTTTTTGTCGTTACACATCACCTTTACCAACATCGTTTTCATATGTAGTAACAACATTATGACATATATCATCACCATCGTACTTATAACTCTCTAGATCGACATAATGAATTTTTCTATCTAAAAACTTTGCTTCATATACTTGTCCAGGATTTTGTGGTTGTACCAGATCGTCATAATGATATTGTGGTTGTATTTGGTATTCAATATATAACAACTCTGGGTTAAGTTCAAATGAGATCTCTATTTAATATGAGAACGTGAGAACACTATTTTATGTTACTATTCTACTATGAATTTTGTATATACAACGATATGACATTATTTATCAACAAATATACGAACAATCATACATTAATATTCACATTAAAATTTTGTATGTAGAACTTTATGACATTATTCATCACCGAATATATGAACAATCACATATTTAACATTCACATTAGAATTTACTAAATTACTACATATATATATATATATATATATATATATATATATATATATATATATATATATATATCTTTACTATCTTATAAAAGAAATCTCACTATTTCTAAAAATAGATTGAATATAATAATATTATTTTTTAAGACGTTCAAATCATTAAGCTAATAGTACAAGTAGTCATCAATAAAATAATATTAAATTTTAACCTGTGTTTTGAATCCTTATATTTCTCAACAAATTCTATCTCCTTCCCTGAATTTCGTATAATTCAAAATTTGAAACCATCAGAAAATACATGTTGATTCAAATATCCCCCTGCAGATGGCTCTTTCTTAACATGTTTTTATTTTAATCCTTACTTGTAATTGATTTCATCATTGTTAACTTTTTGTATTTTTATCTTATAAATATATTGGGTGAATGCTTTATTATATCAGGTTTGTTCCTAAAAATGTCTTTACTATGTTTCTTTAATGTGTTGGCTTTGCAGGTTCAAAGAACTCAACCAAGAGGGTCAGTTAGAGCATTGTATTGTCATTAGTTTGTATATTTTGGCATCTTACTTTTGCAATAAAGAACGGTTAAACACAAGATTTGACATGATTAAGGTAGTTTGTATATTTTTCATCTTGTTTAGTCTAAAAACGAAACCTTTTTCATCATTGGTCCTTATAATATCAAGTTTCATCACATGAACTTCCTGATTACAGTGATTATTGTCCTTATTATAAGGTTCTATATAGATTTTGTTCAATATTTTAAGGTTTCGAGAACCTAAATCAATATGAATCCTTGAATTACATACCATCGTTGAAAATGTTTTGATTTGTGATCAAACTTGGTTTAAAATCACAATGAACAAGTTGACACATCAGTATTTTAGCCTTCTCAAAGGCCTATTTATCGACTTTTGAATCACAACACCTGATATTCTAAAGGTTTATTTTTATAAACTATTATTTATATATTTTAGCATTTTACATAATAGGACATTAAATTAATAAAAGAATTAAGGAAAACGGGGAAAAAAAAGGACGATAAACAGTACAAGTGGTTTGGGCATGTATAAATGGAAGTAATAACCATTTAAGGGGATGTTTGGCAAAAAAACTTATTGCTTATTAGTTTGTTAGCTTATAAGTTAATAAGTAAGTGTAGGGTAACTTATGAAAAAATGACGTATTACAGGTTCCCCACCGGAATAAGTTATTTTAATCCAAACACTTTTTTAAATTATAGTGATGTGAAACCTAATAAGTTGTTTTAAAAAAGCTTAGCCAAACACCCCTTTAATATGGTATGGTAATGCTCTTGAAAAATAGATGTCATTTAATATTCATTTCTCGAAATGAACGAAAAATGGTTTTAACTCTAAAGAGATCAAATTATTCGCCGCCCGCCGCTTTGCGCGGGTAGACAGCTAGTATATATATATATATATATAAGAGAGAGAGAGAGAGTAGAATAACAATATAAAATTGAATATATTCATATTATAATCACTACAATACTATAGATATTAAATTCATAGTAGAATAGTGTTCTCATCTGAACTTAACCTTATGAAGGACCACTAGAGAGAAAAATATTTGTTTGATTTTTGCTACCGCTTCTACTAGATTGGTTTTCAACAAAAACGTATTATAATTTATTTCTGAATAATCCTTTGTTCGACGAATGTTGTTGACGGGATTTGAACTATCAACCTTCTAAAGATCATATTATTAGACCACATGTTTGATCATATTAATAACTTTCTAAAATAACAATAATTAGAAACTAGAAAAACGTAGTAATTAGGGTGCTTGATTTGAAAATTGATGTGAAAATAATAAATTGGATGTATATTCAACAATTTGAGGGGTACATTTAATAACTCTATTTATATTGGTAATAAATTTGATTTCATTAAATATTGGATTAGAATAAGAATTAATAATAAAATAATAATAATAGAAAACTCAAACAAGTTATATCTTTGGGAAAATACGATAATTTGTTAATAACCTAATTAAATAATTTTGTAGCCACAATAAAAATCATTAAAAAAAAAAAAAAAAAAAAAAAAAAAAAACTTAATCGAATTCTCAGTGCTATTGCTGGATAGTTAAAAATACTAATAGATATTAGATAGACACAATGAAAATGATTCGACAAGTAAAGATTTTAAATAAATGTTCAAAAAGACATCGCTAAAGTTCTTTTTAATATTTTGATTTTTTTCACACATGCAAATGGAATGAAGCATCAACACTGTTTAGGGCAACAATATTTTGATTTTTTTTTTCCACAAATGTAAAACAGTATCGACACTTTACAAATATTTTGATTAATTTTCTTCCAAAATATAATTATTAGCATTAGTGTTTTATTATTATAACTTTTTTATTCCCATTCCCAGAAACGATTCTGTAGTTTAAAAAACCGAAAATATTGGTCGCTTTTAGTTCCAAAAAACCAAAGGTTTAAGAAAGGGAGCTGATCCGTACACAACAATTTTTCTCCATACACAACAATTGATGCTTTAAAATGCTGTATTGTACAACTATATAATGCATGAATTGTTGTGTATGATAAAAAACTGTTGTGTACGAATCACTTCCCTTTAAGAAACGATTCTATAGTTCTTAGTTGTTTCAATCTATATATTTACTTCAACAATTAACAAGGTATTTAAATAACCACCTTTCACATCTCTTTAGCTTATAGGTTAATAAATAACTAGATTTTAAATTAGAATACATAAAGATGGTCATTATTGAGATCCAGCTTTCTATAATTGGAGTGTTTTAAAAATGTATAAATCTAGTGTCTTTTCACAAATTCTTGAAACTTTGTAATTCCCATCATGGCCAGTTTTTCATCCTTACAGGTTTCTCTCATTTCTTTGGCTTTACTCATCATTTTGATAAACTTTCTTCGTATCAAATGGATTTCATTTCATTCAAATAACAAAAAAAACTTCCCACCATCTCCACGAAAACTTCCAATCATTGGCAACTTCCACCAATTAGGATCAAGCCCAAACCAATCTCTTCAACTCTTGGCCCAAAAACATGGTCCAATCATGCTCCTTCACTTTGGCAGCACACCCATGCTTGTAGCTTCTTCTGCTGAAGTGGCTCGAGAGATCTTGAAAACCCATGATCTATCATTTTCAAGTCGACCCAGTTTAACTATACCCAACATACTGTTGTACGGATGTAAAGACGTAGCCTTTGCTCCTTATGGGGAATACTGGAGGCAGTTGAAAAGCACTGTAGTAGTCCATCTTTTGAGTAGCACACGAGTTAGATCATTCCAACAAGTGAGAGAAAAAGAAATAAGTCGTATGATTAGTATGCTAGAAGATAGTCATGGTTCTTTGGTCGATATTGGTTCATTGCTTATTTCACTTACGAATAACATAATTTGTAGGGTGGCTGTTGGAAGGGCGTATGATGGGTCAAAGCTCACAGACATATTGTGTCGATTACTACATATGTTTACTGTTTTTAGTGTTGGGAGTTATATTCCATGGTTGAAATGGGTAGATCGAGTTAGTGGTTTAGAGGGAAAGGCTAAAAAAGTTGCGCAAGAATTTGATGAGTTTATTGAAGAAATCATTGAGGAGCATTTAAATAATAAGTCTGGAAATGAAGTTCAGGACTTAGTTGACATCTTACTTGATGTTCAAAGAGATAACACAATCGATTTTAATTTCCATAGAGACACCCTTAAAGCTGTTATATTGGTATGTTGATTAATTACTTGTAATTTTTTTTAATAATAAAATTGAAGGTTTTTTTTTGTGTTGTAGAATATGTTTCTTGCGGGGACTGATACGACATACACAAGTTTACAGTGGACAATCGCTGAGCTTATAAAACACCCAAGAGTGATGAAAAAGTTGCAGAAAGAAGTGACAGAAACAGCAAAAGGAAGATCCATGATTGTAGAGGAGGATTTGGAGAAGATGGAGTATCTTAAAGCTGTTATAAAAGAATCCTTGAGGTTACATCCTCCAGTTCCACTTCTGGTTCCACGAATATCAACACAAGATGTGAAAGTTAAAGGGTATGACATTCCAAAAGGGACACAAGTGATCATCAATGCTTGGGCAATAGGAAGAGACCCTGACATTTGGAAACAAGAATCAGAGGATTTTATGCCAGAGAGGTTTTTGAAGAGTTTGATTGATTATAATGGTGTTAACTTTGAGTGGCTTCCATTTGGTGGTGGGAGGAGGAAATGTCCTGGTATTCAATTTGGTGTGGTTATCATGGAGCTTGCGTTAGCAAATCTGGTATACAAGTTTGATTTGACGTTGCCAGATGGAGTGAAAAAAGAGGATTTGGATATGAGTGAGGAATTTGGTATAGTCCTCCATATGAAATCCTCTCCGAAGGTTATGGCAACTCCTCGTGCTACCTGTTAAATCACAAAGATATCTAAATATCTACCTATCTATCTATATCATTTTCACTGTGTAGTTTGTCAATTGCAACCTGACGCAAGCAAATAATGAAATACTATATGATAATAAATAAATAAAAAATGCACCTTTTTTTTTTACCATAAACACCAACGAGAGTTAAAAAGAGTCTGATGCCTGAATATATAAATAATCCAAGGGTGAAGGGTTCATAATAATTGATTCATACACATATTTGATCTTATGAGTTCTGATTAGTCAAATCCTGCTGTGACTGCGAAGAGCAAGTGAGAATGTGAGATCGGAATTTATCCAACTCCGTGATCACTTCCTGCTGAGGACGATAGATTAAATCAATCATCCGCCATATCTGCACAGATTGTCGATTCGAGCATAATTGTTAATCATTAATTACTAATTAGTAGTAAGTAAAAGATGGAGTCGATTGATTGATTATGCAAAAAGAGGGAAACCTGTAGGGTTCCACCGCCACCAGTAGTTTCATCATCATCGGATACGCTAACGATTGTCCATGGATCATGAGCGTTCCAGTGAAAATCAACCACTTTGTCCCTAGAATATTATTTACACAAATGCCATTGAGTATTTATTGTCTTGATGGATAAATGATGGTTTAAAAAATATCGGAGAATTGTACCTGTGCCCAGAATGGCGGAATAATAAACCTTCTGTAACTTTTGACGCTTCAACAGAACGTTCGCCAATCTGGCTCAAGAACAAACATGTTTAATTAGGCTATGTTTCTAATAAGGGCAGATTTGTCAAAAGCAAAAAAGATTGGTTTGCACCTTATTATGATCCCAGATGTTCAACACTCCATCTTCTGCTGAACTGCCAAACACGGATGATTTGTCCGGGGACCACTGAAATTTGTAAAATAATTATTCGGATAAAGGAAAACATAAAAATGCATGTAAATGTTGAGTTATTATAATTTATAATTTATAATTTATAATTTATACCTACCTGTACACAAAGAACAGCAGCAGTGTGATTCTGGAATATGTGGATGGGTGATCCAACCCCATTATTAGTCAGATTTCTTCGATCAAACAACCGAATAGTGTTATCAGCAGACCTGAAAAAGAATCATTTATTATTCAGCTTATAAATCTACTTCCATCATCCATGGGTTAATGAAGAAAAATAGAAAGCGAATGATGAAAAGGAGACTGAAAGTACAAATTTTTTGAAATCTTGAAGCTCAATTGCAAAACCAAAAGATGGTTTTATTTGAGAAGTGTGCATATAATATTTGGTAATTACCCTGTGAGTATAAGGTTTTCATCAATGGGGTTCCAATCAACACAGTGAAGATCAGCATTGTGTGCTTTCTCAACCTGAAAAATAATCATATAAAAAAAGATGAAATTGAAGTACATTGTCTTAATCAATAAAAGTACAATGTTTCGATAAGAAGTAAAAGTTACCTTTACAACTGGAGAAGAACCTGTTCTTGCATCCCATAGTATAAGACAAGAATCATCACCAACACTACAGAACTCTTGTTCCCTTCACCAAAGTTTAAAAAAAGAAAACTTCCAGTTAGCTAATCAAATCTATCATTGCAATTGAATAAAGGGAATGTTGTTTCATATACCTAGAGGGGCAGAATTGTACATCTTCAACAGTGTCTTCATGCCCTTGAAACACACCTCTTGCTTGAATAACAGGGCTCTCACTAGGTTTATCATTGGTCCCTCCATTCTTTGTTGCCAAAGTAGAAATATGATCATGAATACTCCACAACACAACTGACTTATCCTTACCTGTCAACACAACAAACAAAGAACACAAAACTGGATTACATATTTTGTTGATTCATAATTCATTAAAAATCTCTCATTCTTGACTTCTTTTACATCAACCAGTATCAAAAACTATTAAAATATCACCTCCAGAAAGTACAAAGGGTGCACTTCGGCACATGTCAAGAGCAAATTCTGCATTTTCTTGATGACCAGTCAAAATCTGCAAGGTGAATAATATAAATCAGCATCAAATTGATAAAGAAGCATATAAACAGGACAAAATAAGGTAAAGGCAAAAACAAGAAAGAAAGGAAGAATATGCAGAAATTTGTGTAGATATCTCATATCTATGATACGACTCTTATAAAAGGGACCCACCAAATCAGGACGAGACTCTGTAGCTCCCAAAACAGCATGGCGATTAGGCTGAGCTTCAACATCCCAGATAAGGACCTGGTTTATAAAAAGAAAGCAAAGGGAAAAATAATTTAAGAGAAATAGGAAAAAGAAGCTAAATATGGAAAGAATGGAGTCTGTAAAGTTGAGTGCATACATCAGGACTGTCTGTGTGTGTGGCTACTATATTCATGTTCTGAGGAAGCTCCCTGATGCGATTGACCTGTTGCAATGAAATAACAAATGTCAAAGATACATAAAAGTTACATCTTTAAGAGATATATAAATGAATGAGTAGCATGTTTGAACAAAGAAATACCTCTCCAGGATGTATGATGGTTTTGAACTTCTTAACATAGGGTGATCGTGCTTCTTCATGGAACTGCAGAAATAAAAGTCATAAAAGAGTAATCAAGTGGAATCAGAGGCAACAAGTTTGAAATTTGTATTGGACTCACCTGTGATATGTGTTCTGCTGCTGCTACTCTTGGTTTCACAATTTCACAATTTGCTATCACAAGTGTGTTTGGAACGCTGCCATCTGTCTGTAAGAAGAAGGTTAGAGTTAAAGAAGACAAGTAGGAAATATTCACATTTTGCATCCAAAAAATGGCAAGAAAGCACACAATCTTTGATAAGAAATTCAGACATGAGAAGATAAAAGACATTTCATTCAATTTGAGGTGAAGAACATCATGTTACCTGTTCTGAGAGGTACAGTCGTTGGCGATTCTTGTATGTAGCTTGCTCTATCTGTGGCCCCCATCTATTAAGAAGGCAAAATTAACATGCACCAAGCATACTCACATCAATAAATTGCAATGAACGGATAAGTCGATGACCTAAGAGTTATACATTCACTAGCTTGGTGGTTACCGGTTGATCCTTCCATTCTAGGTATGAGTTAGCATGGAGTATACACTCATAAACAAACATGAAAATTAGCATTCCTCAGCTTTATTTTGAAGAATGTAGTTTCTAGGTATGAAATCGGATACGAAATAGTAGCGCGGAAGCTAAATCATAAAAACAATGAGTAGTCGAACCCTAGATAGTGAGAGTACATACCGGCAAGAAAGAGACGGCCAAAGAAGGTTGTGGTTGGCGAGCCAGTCGTAGAGAATGGGGACGAGATGCTTCCACTGTGAGTAGCGTGCGTCGACCGACGGCAACCCTCCTCCGACTTTGCCGGCACTCTCCTTCATCTCTGTTCTGGCTTTTTTATTTTCCCGCCTCTTGGGGATGTCTAATTTGAGTAATTTCTGCAACTGCAAGCTGCAGCTACACTTCTCTAGTAGTGCTTTTTTGCCCGGTTGAGGAAATTATAAATTTAGTCCATCATCAATTCAACACATATGATTTTGGTTTAGATGTTGCGTAAACTATAATTTTGGTCCTTGAGTTCAGCATTTTTTTATTTTGATCCCAAAAATAATAGAATTCTAACTTTTGTTCCCTTGGGTCATAAATGGTCACATAATTTATCATCCTATTCTAGGTGATTGCGTAAGTTTACAAAGAAAATCAATTGCAAAATGGTTTTATAAGAAAATTTCTTCTAAAATTATTTTCGTGAATGCACACAATCATATTTAAAGAATTCATGTAATATATATAGAAAATATATCATCACATAAAAACAAAAATCATAAAAGCATCAATATAAGATTGTATTAATATGTATTATTGGGATTAACTGGTTTCAACTTGTTGTAGATTATCCATTTCATTTTTATTTGGGTTACTGGCCAACATATATATATATATATATATATATATATTATATATATATATATATATATATATATATATATATATCAAAGTTCAACAAAGTACCTAAACACTTATTAAGCTCTTAATGAAATTTAGTATTTGAAGTCTTGTTTTATTCTTTAGATATGTTCCTTATTGTAACATTCTGTTTAAAATAAATAGATAATAAACCCTAAAACCCTGAGATGTATCTTTATATTATATTATATATATATATATATAATATTTTAATAATTTATATTGACCCTAATCTGCAATAAATTATTATAGTGTTAGCGCAAGGAGTTAAATGTAACAAATTATGAAATTCAGGAAGTTAAAAGTGGTATTTTTGGTCTATGGGGGCTAAAGTGTAACTTCCGGACCAATTATGAACAAAATTCTGATGCTAGGGGTTGATTGGTAATTTTTGGACTTGTGTTGAAAGGATTTTTAGATTTATGGGGCTAAGGTGTAAATATTGGATTCAAATTGAAAGTAATTGAGGGGGAGGGGTCAGAATTGTCAATATGGCATGAAGTTTGTTTTGGACGGGGTCTAATACCCGTCACCTCTCTTTGGCCTTACATATCACAAAGCCCAAACCCTAAACATATTCCCAGCCACCACCTTTATCTCTCCACCTCCAGCCGCCACCAACGCGTTGACACGGCCATGGATCACCGTTGACCTTCTTCCCCACAAGGAAAGAGCCCGAGACCGCCGAGGAGTGAAGGGCAGCGTCCAAGTGCTACTACTTTGTCGACCACCATTAACATCAGACATTGTCACCCCTTTACCGTTGTTGTGAACCACCAAGCAGTCGTCGTCGTTGCTTTTATTGTTGCTGATGACGACGAACTACGAGCTGACGTATGAACCTTTCTCCTATCTACCTCCGTTCGGTTTTACTATTTCGTTGTCGCCACCTACCGCCGCATGGTGGTTGTGTTTGTATGTAATTTCGCATGTGTATGTGTATCAACTTAGGTCGATGTGTATGTATGGATTTTAGTCGGGGTCGGGGTGTGAGTGTGTTGTTTAAACGAAAAACGCAAGAGGTCACCATGGTAACCAATCATGATGGTTGTCGCACGTGTTGCTCTTTCTACCGCCACCAGCCAATGTGTGTGAAATGGTGTTTAATTGTGTGTTATTTTAGTTAAATGTTGTTC